TATATTCACATCTCTACCAAGTTCAAACAAATTACTAAAAAGAATTATTTCGTTTACCTATATTCAAAAAATAATTCTGCCTAACTCACCAAACAAAAAATTATCCAAGCTTTTGCTCGACCCAAATTCATACACAGTATCTTTACTTCTTCATCCAAACAAAATCCGAGAAAACCTACAGGATTTCTGTGTTGAAGTTTTGCCATCGCACTACTTCGTTCCTAAATTCAGGCAAACCTTGGTTGGAACTACTTGATAGTCTCTTCACAGCTAACTCTTATCCACCAGGTAAAATGCCCTGCATAGAAGATAACCAGCTACTAAAATCAATTTATAAACACAAATAATTTATGTTTGAGAGTGCTTGCGATATCCATCAAGAGAATAGAATTAGATACCTTGTACACCTCGCCATATCCACCTGAAAATAATTTGTCCAAGTTTATTGTCGGGGGAGAAGTCGTTTGTGGCTGATTTGATGTCACGGAAAATCAAAATGCAGCTACTCTGCACTTGAAATCTCAGCTACGTATAATCAATTTCCCAAGACTTTACAAACATTATATGTTTACTTTGAACGGTCAATTGAAAACTGTTAGGTCATTGTAAATTTCTGATATTATTCATGAATGGAAACATACTAATTACCATGTAAAGTGAAAATTGCACGTATCTAAACACGGAGGCTAATTCAATACCCGTTTTAGGAACTGAAACATTCTTGCGTGCTCTCCGTCTAAGGCACAGGATGCAGGGCGAGACTTGCATTATGAATATCGTCGTTTGAACTACTGTGGCAAAGAAAACATGTATATTTGACGGAAGGAGAAGACTTAGATATTCAGTCTCATATACTTGATATACTTTTCCTGGAAGGAATAATAACTGACCTTTGGAAGGAACTGGTGGTCGAGGAGCCGCTTCCTGGTAAAAGGGGTACGTTTCGTTCCTTAAGTTTTCCTCCCCCTCCATTTCCATCACAGCATATATGCAATTTGTCGATACATCTATTGAGACTGTTGTAACAATCAATCTCAGATATAGCCGACGTGCACTGCGCCATATATAGAGGATCAAAAGCACTATTGTCTGGAATGTGCTGTTCTGGGCGTAAGTAAAATCTGAACAATAGTGATCAAGCTAAGCGAATCATTTTGTGATGATTAATGCCGTTTCATGCGCTGGCGGCGTAATATAATGATATAATCAAAAATTCATAAATGATTAATGTTTTCATCTATTCTTCTTCGTATCTGCGAAAAGGCCGTGAAAAAATTTTGTTTATTTAAATTTTTAGGCCTTTTTAAACGTGAACATGTTTTCAAGTCTTCATTAATTGTCATTTATCATTAGACTCTTCTTTCCGCGTCAATGCCGAAAGAAAATAGGAATACCATATTGTTAAATAAATAATTGGATTATTTTTCCAGACATTACACGGGTTACATAATAATCTAAGAAAAAAGTATTTTACCTAAATGATAGTTGAAAAGGTAGGAAAAAATGAAAAATTTCAGGGTGAGGACATATAGATATAAATTTTTTTTGCTTAAATAATTTTTTTTTTCATTTAGATGAAGAATTCAAAATTTATGTTTAAATGATAAAAAGGTAGAGATAAAAAAATATTAAAAAATATAAAAAAAAGACTGTTGAATTTCAAAATTTTAAATCAGGAATTACTACAAAAATATATTGTCATTTGCTTTTTGAGTGTATTTATTTTTTTTATAAGTATAGTAACCAGTACTGGTTTAAAATTTTGAAATTCAATAGTCTTTTTTTTTTGGGATTTTTCCAAAAATATATACAACTATCTACCTTTATCAGAGTAGTCTTCTGATTACGATACAATAAGGTGAAAAAACATAAATCCGAAGAATAGTCTTTGAAAATGAGAGAGGGACATCTAACTGATCGTAATCTTTTGCTTAAAACTTTTAACAGTGACAAGTGACAAAATTGATCGCTTTCCCTTTTCCTTCATTTATTAATTTTGATTTTAACTAAGATGTACCATGCACATCTACGTACATCCTCTTATGAATTTTTCTCTATTATTCCAGTTGTTCAAATATCAACTGCGTATAATGAATGGATTGAGAATCATTAACAGAAACATCATTCGTTATAGAGTAAAATCTGAACAATAGTGATCAGGTCCTCCTGCTTGTCCTTTTATTCTAGCAATCAAAAGGATTATAAGCCAAAAAAGAAGAAAGAGGTTAGGAGAATTCATGAAGCGAATCATTTTGTGATGATTAATGCCGTTTCATACGCCGGCGGTTTAATATATATGTATGTACCCTGCATATAAGTCTCTTTAGTCCTTGTGCTTCTCATTTATGCTTATAGTTTTTATTGCTTTGGAACTTCCAACGCAGCAGATTTAGAATTTGTAAACCAATGACTAGAGGTGTGGACTGGACTAAAATCGTACTACTTCTCTCCTTCAATTTATTGGACAAAATTTTGGAGAATTAACTGCATTTGACCTCCTGACGTGGAATTTCCATCATTGGTTATGGAAGTCGTCTCACATGGATTGAATTTTCAGCGTTCATTTATCGTAAGTCTGACTTTTTACGCCCCCATACATACGACAATGAAGGCCCTCTTTTTCAAGTCTTCTCTGTTATTAATTTATTATTGGTTCAAATAAAACGTTTGTATGATAACTTCCTCATCTCTAAATTTCTCCCTTGACGGCAATCGAATTAAACACAATTAATGAGTGAGATATACTCCTATAATTTAATTTATTTATAAGTCACTTTCGATATAGTTTGTCAGAAAATATAAGTAGAACTAGAGGAGTATATGATAAGCTTTCATTGTCATCCATGTCAATGCCGAAATCATCCAATAGGAGTAGCATACTGTTAAATAATCAATTAAATTATTTTTTCCATACAACACTGGAGATAATAGTCATATAGTATGTTGCTTATCTCTCCTTTCCTGTAAATACTAGTCTTCTAATCATTGGATGAAGTTTTGGTCAGAACAGAATTAATAATATTTCTAAAGTGTACGCGAATAACCTTAGTCAGAGAGAGTCTTTTGGTTACTCAAGTGTAATTAGTGAGGGACACATCTAACTACTGATGGTAATCTTATTACTGGCGCTGACCGGCCAGATGTAATGTTTGGAATTGTGGTTACTTCACAGGGAAGATCCTGAGGCATGCATTAAAGTGTGCAGAAGATGGTCACTCTCGTCTCGAGAGCTTAGAAATGAGGGAACAAGTCTCTTTGAGGAACGCGTAAGTAGGAATAAGTCTTCCATCACTACTATTTATTACATAGTTGGCCTTAAATCTTGTTGCGACTTTTCCTCCTTACAACTCCACATTTTCAATGGTCCCCCTTTATTGGGCTCTTCCATCCTTCTTTTAGGTTCAAGACTTCCAGCGTGTCAGTACAAAGAAGCTGCTTTTTCGCAACACATGGTTTTACTTTTACAATGAGTCAACGCTGGCTTGCCAAATATTATGTGTCAGAGACAACTTATGGTTGATCAAATTAAAGATGCATAAATTACCTGCCTAGTATTTCGTATTTGTAGCTAAAAAATGGACACAAAAATTTGCCTCTATACATGAGATTTACGTTGCAACGTTTACATCTCAATTCTTATACAAAAAAAGATCCAGCTTGAACAATGATATCTTTAAATTTCTAGCTAAAAAAATAGACACAAAAATTTGCCTCTATATATGAGATTTACGTTACTACATCTACATCTCAATTCTTATACAAAAATAGATATAGCTTGAGCAATGATATCTTTAAATTTCTAGCTAAAAAATGTACAGAAAAATTTGCCTCTCTATATGAGATTTATGTTACGACGTCTACATCTCAATTCTTATACAGAAATAGATCTAGCTTGAACAATGATATCTTTAACCGGCGTTGAGTTGGATAAAATCTAGAAACCAACACCTCTTCTTGAGTATTGTTCACCTATATATTAAGTAATGAAAAAAAATAATCGAGAAATATAATAATGTAATCAACAAATTAATAAATAATTAATGTTTTCATCTATTCTGGTTCGTATCCGAGAAAAGGTCGTGACAAAATTTTGTTTATTTAAATTTTTAGGCCTTTTTAAACGTGAAAATAATTTCAAGTCTTCATTAATTGTCATTTATCATTAGACTCTTCTTTCCACGTCAGTGCGGAAAGAAAACTGGAATAGCATACTGTTAAATAAATAATTGGATTCTTTTTCCAGACATCACACGGGATACATAATAATCTAAGAAAAAAGTATTTTACCTAAATGGTAGATGAGAAGGTACGGAAAAATGAAAAATTTCAGGTGGGGACATATAGAAATCAAAAACCTTTTTGCTTAAATGAGAAAATTTTCATTTAAATGAAGAATTCAAAATTTAAGTTCAAATGATAAAAAGGTAGAGATAAAAAAATACACACACACACAACTATATATCTACCTTTGTCAGAGTAGTCTTCTGATTACGATACTGCAAGGTGAAAAAACATAAATCAGAAGAATAATCTTTGAAAATGAGAGAGAGACATCTAACTGATTGTAATCTTTTGCTCAAAACTTTCAACAATGACAAGTGACAACTTGATCGCTTTCCCTTTTCCTTCTCTTCATTTATTAATTTCGATTTTAACTAAGATCTACCATGCATATCTACGTACATCCTCTTATGAATTTTTCTCCATCATTCCAGTTGTTCCAATATCAACTGCGTATAATTAATGGATTGAGAATCATTAACAGAAACATCATTCATTATTGAGTAAAAGATATGTATGAAAAGCTGTCATATTATCCTCCCCTCAGAAGGTAAAATATACAAATACAAGTAACTTATCTGCTTTAATTTCTTGATACTTTGCCTAATTAAACTTTCTTTCGAAACCAGTTTTATCTTCGAACACTGGTTTCAAGCTTTCATCAATGTTTGACATATACGCTACTGAGTAGATGAGCATTTAAGTAATAAACAAGGATACTAGCGAGGGTACAAATCAGTAACCGGATCTTTATCCACGGACAGCTGCGCAGACTTGCTGGTAGATTGATCTGAACTATTTTCATAAATGGCTGGATTGTTTGAATCTGTTCTATGGCGGCCAACAAAAAAGGCTGGCTCCCGAGGATCCGACAATGTGACGGAGTGACTGCTTAGCATCACCATAATAGACTGTATTGTAGGTCTCAGAGCTGGGTTTTCCTGAATACATAACAAGCTCATATGGATGCATTTAATAACTTCATTTCTCGAACAAGAGTCTCTTAAACTAGGATCCAGCAATTCCAATGGCCTCCCTTCCCTCCACAGCCTCCAGGCCTGCAAATTGCAATTCCAATCATATATAATTAATTAATGTGTTAATATTTTGACCTCTCTAGCTACCATCTGAGTTTATTTACTTTTGATAATATACTTACGTAGCTTTCGCTAAAAAAAGATAATATACTCACATAGCTTAGTAGGTCTTCAGCATAGCTTGAAATATAGAAAGATGTATTCTTCTTGCCGCTAATAATTTCCAAAATCAGGACACCAAAACTATATATATCAGATTTGATTGAAATATGACCATGCATTGCATATTCTGGAGCCATGTATCCACTACAAAAAAAAAAAAGAAGAAGCACACATTACATGATAAATAATTTCTTTTCTCAAGTTTGTTATAAAGTATGATGCAAAAAAATTGGCATGAAGAAATTTAACTTACAAGGTGCCGACAACTCTGCTTGTGCTTGCTTGTGTTTGATCAACTCCAAAAATTTTAGCTATACCAAAATCAGAGATTTTTGGATTCAAATCTTCATCCAACAATACATTACTAGCTTTGAGATCACGATGTATGATTTTTAGTCGAGAATCTTCATGAAGATAAAGCATCCCTCTTGTAATGCCTTCGATAATCTTGTAACGCCTTGACCAATTCAATTTATCCTGGTCTTCAAGTCCTGGACGCCCAATAAGAAGCCATTCAAATAATAAGATAAAAAAATTAGATTCACATCCTTACCGCAGGTTAACCAATGCAATTAATAATAATTATCATATAATTTGAAGAGTGAGCATATGCATAACAAATTAAATGCAGAAAATAATTTTGCAAAACCTACCAAACAAAAAATTATCCAAGCTTCTGTTGGGCAAAAACTCGTATATGAGTATCTTTTCTTCTTCATCCAAACAAAATCCAAGTAACCTTACGAGATTTCTATGTTGAAGTTTTGCCATCATAACAACTTCATTCTTAAATTCTCCCAGACCTTGTTTTGAACCGCTTGATAGTCTTTTTACGGCTAACTCTTGTCCACCAGGTAGAACACCCTTCATAAGGAACAATCAATCTATTAAAATCCATTTGCAAACAACTAGTTATTTATGATTTTAAAAGTAGTATCCCGATTTTTACAAGTATAATAGATTTATATACCTTGTAAACCTCACCAAATCCTCCTTGACCAAGTTTATTGTCAGGAGAGAAGTCATTTGTGGCTGTTCTGATGGTATCCAAATCAAATTGCAGGGATTCTACGCTTGAAATATCAACTACATAACCAAAAACAAAACAAAAAAGAGGTAGGGATCATGATATTAATTAGTCATCTAGGGAACTTCCATGTAATAATTAAAGCGAAAATTGCATGTGTATCAAATTAAACATGAGAGCTGATATTTATCATACCACTTTGTTTAGGAACTGAAGCATATTTCCTTGCCCTCCTTTTTAAGCACAAGAAGCAGAGCAATATGAATGTCACCGTTGAAACGGCTATGGCAATAATTATCCCAGCTGAAATCCCGCTTTTATCTGAATAAAACAAAAAAAAACTAAGTTACATATATATTCACTATTTTTATTCAAATTATACTATTTTTTCTTTATCCTCAACGTATTCTCTAATTTCTTGGGAAACAATTCCTAAGTTTAAAATTGTTAATTAAACTCGATACCTGTGTTGCATAGTGATACAAAGCTTTGATCCCGCTCGTAACACTAAATTGTCAGCTCACCCTTTGTAATAAAAAAGTATTATTAATTAAAACATCATTTATTAATTTAAATCACATATTCTTTACACTTCAACTTTTAAACAGAAGGTCTTCCATTTAGAAGAGTTTTAGTTTTTGAATGAAAACTTTCAGAATAAATTTAAATCTTAACCCAATGGATTTATCAGAAGAGTTCTAGCTTCATTGTCAAAACAATCTTTCAAGTGCAACAAATTTGGGTGAAAAAAATTCGTACAATGTTTATTCCTTGAAGCAGTAACAACTGACCTTTGGAAGTGGATTCCGGCGAAGGAGCTGGTGGCGGAAGCGCAGGTGGGGGGGGCGGTTCCTGGTAAAAGGCGTACGTTTCATACCTTAAATAGCAACTGGGCTTGAGGGTTACTCCGCCTACTTTTCCATTACAGCAAATAGGCAAATTGCTAATACTGTTGCGGAGACAGTTGAGACAATCAATCTCAGATATATCCGGCGTGCACTGCGCCATAGTATACAGGGTTTGAAAAACATCATAGTCTACTGTTTTTGTCGCAAATTTCTTGCTTCCGCCTTCCGATGCCTCTTTCGCAATCCCCCTCAAGGTTTCACCCACCAGCTTCATAAAGCTGGTCGTGTCTGTTGCATTGCCGGTGTTATAATAAACTAACATGGGCTTTTCTTCCGTTTTGGAGAAGAAATACTGGTCGGAGTAACGTAACCAGCACTTGTCGTTCCAACCGGTGGCTCCAGTATTGTTGGGGCATTTCTGAAGGATATCTTTGATTTCGTCGGAAACACATTTTTGACAGGTCTGGACGGTGACATCGCCGAGGCACTGGAACATGCCGTAAACGGTGGCGTTGGGGTTGTTTTCTTGCCCGGCGACGGTGGTGTTGTAAAATCCATCACTTTGATTGGTGTTGGAGGAAAGGGAAGAAAGTAAGTGATTCACATTTGTCTGAAACGTGCTTTTCTGGGCATAAGTTGTAGGGGAACAGTCGTGTTGTCCTTTGATTCTGGCAATCGAAAGGATTGCAAGGCAAAGACGAAGAAAGAGTTGAGGAGAATTCATGAAACGAATCATTTTCCGATGATCAATGCCGTTGCAATTCATACGCCGGCAGGGTAATATGAGTCTGTACGTTAAGTGTTAACTCCTTTTACTATTCTCATTTATATTTATCAGTTTTTAGTATTTTGGAATTTTCAACGCGGCAGATTTAGAATTTGAGAACCAGTGATTAAGAAGAGAGATGTGGACAGGACTAGCTAGAACCGTAATACTCACGCGAGCATATTTCCCCTCCGTTTCATATTTATTACTACCTCTGGTGCTTAATATAATATCTTATTTGACTTTTATTTTGGTCTTAAATATAAAGCCCCAATCCACTTTGTCTCTCATATTTATGTTTTTTTTTAAGGTAGTCCTTCTAACAATAGTAACTCTAATCAATATACTTAATTAGCAAGAATATTTTAAGAAAAACAACACATATTTATTACAAATAATTAACTTAACTTCTTTCCTTAATTTTCTCAAGTTAGTCAACTAGCTTTTATAATTATGACCGGAGTTAGTATATGACAAATTTTGGAGGATTAGTTGTTCTAATTTTCTACATTTTCAACCAACGTTAAAAAAATATTTTAGATAATTAAAATTTTAAATTTTTTCTAAACACACATGAATTATTTCTTGATTTCCTTGATTATTGTTTACCTTTTATGTAATGAAGAAACGCTATACAGTACACACTCGATAAATATAAATATATAATAATCAAAGTAATAAATAATTAGTTTATTCTTTTTCTCTTTTCCTTTACATCTGTGAAAAGTTGGTGACAAAATTTTATTTATTTAAATTTTAAGCCCCTTTCAAACGCGACAATGAAGACCTGATCAACTGAAAGGTTTTGAGTTTTCATAGTCACTTCTCAGACTCTTCCCATTGCGTGTCCAATAATTCCTCCACCATCCAATTCAAACGACATATAGACTCGCACCCCCGGTCAATGCTGAAATCAACTAATGTACTACTCCCAGTCTTTAATGTAAGAAATAGTTAACTAATTTGAGTAGATTAGAAAAATTAGTTAAGTTAGTTATTTGTAATAAATATGTGTTGTCTTTCGTAAAATATCCTTGCTAATCAAGGTATTGACTAGAAATATCACTATTACAATGACCATCTTAAAAAAATAGATAAATATAAGAGACAAAGTGGATTGATGTCTTATATTTAAAACAAAAAAAATCAAATAAATTCTTATATTAAGGACCAGAGATAATATCATTTAAGTTGGTACAATGAAATTGGAGGCATAGAAATGAGATTGGAACAAGTCATTTCCATGCTTTAATGCCTCGTTCGATAACAAGAAATTGGAGGCTCAGAATTGGAATTGGAAGCGAAAGTGGAACCCATAAAGAAAAAAAAAATTCACTGACCACGAATTTATGAGATTATACGGTTTACGAAGAAGGACCCAGGTTGGGAAGGGAAAAAGAAAATGAAACTAACAAAAAATGCAGTTATGTGATTAACAACACATCTCAATTGTAAATCCTGAAAGTTCAATTACAAATAGTTAAAGTTATAATCAGTTTAAAATTGTGCACGATTTGTAAATCATAAAAATTTACTTGTAAAACTTAAGACTTGGTTTTAAGATTTACATAATCATTTACCTATCTTCCCCCGATATTGCGTCATCCGACTAATTCTATACGTGATACAAGAGATCCAATCCTTAATACAAAAGCTCAATAATTAATTTAAAAATATTAAAAAAATTAGTTAAACTGGTTGTTTATAATAAATATGTGTTGACTTCCCTAAACTATATTCATTATTAATCTTCTGCATTGGAATTACTCTTTAATGAGAACCCCTTAATTAATATGTACGATTAATAGGTATATTCTTGGAGAAAAATTATAAATTTGGAAGACACAGTAGATTATGATTTTATATTTAGAACCAAATTCAATTCACAACTAATTTTTATATTAAAGATTGGATTTAGTACATTATAATAAGTATTATCTTAACTACTTCTCAACACATGAATATGAAAGTATAAATTATTCATTGTGACTGAGAACTGATGGATGATCCTTTGGGTTCAAATAATCAGAGACGTGTGAAACCAGTCACAAAAAGTCAATAATCAATAGTGATAGTATAGCTCAGGCCCGACCTGCCTCTTACGACGAGGAAACTAAGAGTGAGACCCCCTTTTTCAAGCCTACCTTTCTCCTTTTTCCCACTTTCCTAATTCCTTCGTAGGCTGACGCAGCCAGCCCGTCAACGCCCAAAAAGCAATTTGCCCTACTAATTTTGTTATTATTTATTTCATTTTATCTGTAATTTGTTGATTTTCATAAAAACAATAATTCTATAACTTTTAAATGTGTCTCATACTCGTTCAATACTTAACGTAGGACCTAATTAGGGAGTGAATATTAGTCTTATATGTAAGACTTATCTTCCTTAATTCTTTTTTTTTTTTATATGCACTTATCTTAATTCCTTAATTCTATATTAAAATAGGAACTGTCATATGATTTGAAGAGAATTAATAAAATTTTATGCAATTCCCTTCGAAATTCGTAAGAGGCAGTCACCGACTTCGAAGAAATTAGCTAGTGCGAAACTTCTCTATAATTAATTTAAGGGAAAATGAATTTAGCAGTCCTTATGGTTTTACCAAATTTTGAATCAGGCTTTTATAGTTTTTTTTTCCTTTTATTCCATTCTTATTGTTTGTTAGTTTTTCATTACAATCCATCCGTTAATAATCCGTGAAGCTACTGTTACTTTAAGTTAAGAGGGCTAATGTGGCACTGATTAAATTTTGACGCAGCACTGAACACCTTCTTCAACTTCTCCCTCCCTCCCTGATCTCTCTCTCGCCGTCCACGTCTTAGCTGAATTAATCCCACAAACTCTTAACAGCAGACGCAAGCAAATTCAATGTGACATTCGGCAACATTAGAAATCTAATCCCCACCCCGCAGTTTTCAACAAAAAACCAAAACTTTCAGGAAGATAAAATTTGCGTTATTAAGACAATAAACATTTATAATAATATGATGATAAGTAAGAAGTTAGAGATGTGAAGGACGATGGAACAGACTTGGTGACTTTGAAGATTCTGTTGATTGTTTATTGTTCATGTCGAGCTATCAAACATTGACTTCCTCGTGCGTGACCTGATTGATGGGGTTGGCTTGGAAGGAGACTAAATGGAGGAGGGGAGAGCAAAGCAGAGGGAAGAGGTGTTGCAGATGAGAAAGACGGTGCTTGGTCAAAATTTAATCAGTGCCACATCAGCTGTCTTAACTTGAAGTAACAGCAGCTTCAAGGATTATTAATGGTAGGACTGTAATAAAAAACTAACAAACAATAAGGATTGAATAAAAAGGGGGAAAAAAACTATACAGACCTAATTCAAAATTTGGTAAAACTATAAGAACTGCCAAATTAATTTTTTCTTAATTTAAACTAGTATATGACGAGAAATATCTCTCAAGTGCAAAGAGAAATATCAAATAACGAGCAAGAAAGTTACATAATCAATTTCCTCTATTTTGATTCATTTCATTCGTTTTTTTCCTGTTAAATCTAATTCAAAAGCAATTAAACTTTACTTCTTAGTTTATTAGAAAACTAACACCTTGAGTAAGAATAGAAATAGGGAATTGAAACTCAAATTCCAAAACTTTCAAAAATATCTCAAATATTAAACAGGAAAAATCCAAAAAAAATACCTCTAAAATTTCAAAATCCCAAAGTAGGAATGACTACAAAAATGTGTTGTTATTTACTTTTCAAATAGTGTCAATGGTTATTAAAGTATAATAACAAGACTAATTTAAAATTTTGAAAATTAAATATTGTCTTCAATTCTAACTATAAGACCTTGTTTGTATTTTTTCAGATTCTCTCAGTATTAAATATACCCCACATGCAAAGTTTCGGCAAATTAAGGTGGGGATGGATGTGACGGACATGAAGACGACGTCACATGTTTGCTTTCAATGGAAACGTAAAGTGAGCGGTAATTGTTTGGGTTCGAAGAATTTGAAATTTGAATACAAACCACACAACATTAATCCTCCTCTTAGAAGGGAAAAATACACAAATAACGTACTTTAATTCTTGATACAACAACACAATACTAATTAAGTTTTGTAGTTAAGGTAGTACTAACGAGGATACATGTCAGAAATTGGATCTTCATCCACAGATCGTTGCATAGACTTGCCAGTAGATTGATCCGAGCTATTCTCAAAACCTGCTTGATTCACCATAATAAATTGTATCGCTGGTCTTGGAGCTGGATTTTCCTGGATACACAACAAGCTTGCATGAATGCATTTAATAACTTCATTTCCTGGACATGAATTTCTTAGACTAGGATCCAGCAATTCTAATGGCGCTCCTTCCCTCCAGAGTTTCCAGGCCTGCATATCCAATAATATATAATTAATTTGTTTAGATTTTTGACCTCTCTAGCTAGTAACATTTGAGTTTATTTGCTTTGATAATGTACTTACATAGGTTAGAAGGTTTTCGGCATAATTTGATGCATAGAAAGAAGTATTCTTCCTGCCATTGATGATCTCCATGATTAGGTCACAAAAACTACATATATTAGATTTGACCAAAATATGACCATGTATTGCATATTCAAGAGTGATGTAGCCACCACAAAATAGCATGCATTACATGATAAATAATCTTTTTTTGCCTAGTTCATTATAAATTATGATACAATAAGAAATTATATAAAATGTTGATTTAAGTGACTTACAATGTGCCGCCAACTTTATTTGTTGGTGTGAGTTTGATCAACTCCGGAGATTCTCACCATTCCAAAGTCAGATATTTTTGGATTCAAATTTTCATCCAACAATGCATTACTAGGTTTGAGGTCACGGTGTATAATTTTGAATTGAGAATCTTCATGAAGATAAATTATTCCCTTACAATCCCTTCAATAATAATGTTGTACCGATTTGATCAATTCAGTTTACCTTCGTTTTCTGCCTCTATACAGTTAAGAAGCAAATTAAACAACAAAAGAAAATGTTAGATTAGCATCCCTACTCAAGTTCAAACAAATATTAATAAAAATTGCATGATTGGATGAGCAATTATACGTGTACCTAAATGCAAAAGCCAATTCTGCATAGCTTACCATACAAAAAATTATCCAAGCTTTTGTTGGGCAAATATTCATAAATGAGTATCTTTTCTTCTTCTTCTAAACAAAATCTGAGAAACCTGACGATATTTCTATGTTGAAGCTTTGCCATGGTAACTACTTCATTCTTAAATTCTAGTACACCTTGTTTGGAACTACTTGATAATCTCTTCACAGCTAACTCTTGTCCACCTGGTAAAATACCCTGCATATAACATAAGATATTATTAAAATTTATTTACAAACAAATACTACCCCTTGTACTTAATATAAGAGCTCGTTTGATTTTTATTTTGGTCCTAAATATAAGATTCTTATTCACTTTTGGTCTCATATTTATTTATTTATTTGCTAATGTAGTCATTATAATAATGGTAGTTCTAACCGATATACTTTATTAGCAAGGATATTTTAGGAAAGACAACATCTATTTATTATAAATAACTAACTTAACTAATTTTCTTAATCTACTCAAATTAGTCAACCAGATCTTATATTAAAAACCGAAGATAGTAATAATTTTATGATTTTGAGAGTGCATGCTTGCCATTTCCATCAGGAAAGTAGTATTGTATACCTTGCACACCCGTATCCACCTTAACCTAGGGCCGTTTAGAATAACTTATAAGTAGCTTTTCAATCGTGATTTATAGAATACGAAGTAAATATGTGAGAAGAGTTTTATTTCGATTTACGTAAAATGTGCTTATAAGTGATTTCAATCTTGATAGCAAACAGGGCCCTAGTTTATTGTTGGGGCAGAAGTCGTTTGTGGCTGCTGATCTGATGGTATCCAAATCAAAATGTAGTGACTCTGCACTTTTCGTACCAACGCGCGGCTTGTGTATAATTGAGGCATTGCCTGGGAAACACATGCTTGACAGGCGGAGACGGTGGTGTCTCAGCGGCAGAGGTAGAGGCTGTAGACGGTGTCGCCGCTTTGTCCGACGGTGGTGTTGTAAAGGCCATCACTGCGATTGGCGTTTGAGGAGAGTTGAAAGTAAGCGATTAAGATTTGCATGGTGTGTGCCGTTTGGGGCATAAGTATGGCCTGAACAATCCACCTATGGCACCTGTGCTTTCATTCTTGCAATGAAGAAGATTACAAGAACAAGGAGCAGCAAGGCCATGAAGCGAATCATAAATTTTAATTTCTTCTTCTTGTTGGTTTTTTCCTTTTTGCCAGTGAATCATAAATTCTCCGATGAATATCAATATTCAAATGTGCTGGTTCACACTTGGGGGATAATACTCGACTTATTTATGCATCTTAAGGTGAAAGACTTGGACTTTAGAAACCGTTGACTAAGAAACATGTGGATGGGACTTCGTGGTGGCTGCTTGACTTGTATAATGCATACCCTCCAACCTCATTTTTATATACTTTGACCAAAAAAATCCTCATTATCATATACTACCTCCCCTCTTAAATACTATCTCTGGTGTTTAATATAAGAGCTATAGTTTGACTTTGAATTTAATTTTAAATATAAGACCTCAATCTACTTTGTCTCTCATATTTATCTATTTTTTTAAAAATAGTTATCGTAGTAGTTACACAAGTTAAAGAGTTCATCAAATGGAAATTATAGCTAATACACTTAATTAGCATAAGTATTTTAGGAAAGACAACGCCTATTTATTACAAATAACTAGCTTAACAAACTTCCTTCATCTACTTAAATTAGTCAAGTAGCTCTTATATTAAATATCAGAGGTAGTATTAGATCTACTTTGTAGTGCAACTAATTCCTGCTCTAAATATAAGATATAGTTTGTAATACAATTTGCAGTAGAAACTAGATCTCTAGTACTCCTCCAGTCCTAAATATAAGACCCATTTTGTAGTACAATTTGTACTATAAAATGAGTCTTATATTTAAAACCGAAGGAGTATTATATATATAAATATATATCCTTTAATTTCTTACTACATCTATATCACAATCTCTAATAATATCCAATCAATCGTGTAATGCCTGTATTGATATTATTAATAGGTAGGCTGATATTATTAACAAAGTTAGAAGATAAATACACTTGTGTGAAATGTTAAGTGTTAGGAATATTTTGCCACATGTAAAAAAAGCATTATCTTAAATTGCTTAAAATACTTTTTATGGGGGTTTCCCAACGTATGAGCAGTTTTGTATGAAAGATAAAAGGACAAATTTACTTATTATAATATTAAAAAAATACCAAGCACTATAGTAAAATGTCAGAAGCAAAAATACCTATTAACTTTTTAAAACGGAACAAAAATGTTATTTCTGTTAAAATGCCTTTTTTGAATCATCATGATAAATTTGTCCCTTGAATCGTGGCTGTGGCTCTAGGCTCGAGTCGTGACACAGACTGGACAATATGAATTTCCTTCTCGGGGGAAGGAATGGAAAATTGAGAAAAGGTAGGGGGACCTTTGTAATTTTCCCCAACACAGGACGCAAGTTAACCAAATACAAAGACAAAATTTAGCTCATTTTGTTTTTGGCTGAAACTTTAGCTTATGTTAGATTGCGTTTTTTTATTTTAGATCATAATTTAATTAATAGCCATAAAATTTTAAAATTTTTTGAAGCCCATGCAATTTTGCACAGGTCGTTTCTTCGGTGTACAAGAAATTTGTAGAATATTATATTTGCTATGCAGATGATTGTTAAATTGTGTTGCTTTATTAGCACTACTATTAAGGGGTGTTTGGTTTAATCCAAAAGCACTTTTAAGAAAATATTTTTATATAAGTCGAGATAAAACTCTTCTCACACATTTATTTCGTATACCGTAAAATAATTTTTAAAATCATGGTTTGGTTTTCACCCAAATATTTTTTTAATTTCTTTGACTATTAAATAAGATAAATTATTTTTCTCATGACCATTTCAATTATTACGTATTTCAGTGGTCCCACATATAGGACGCCCTTCTTCTTTTTCAGCCATAGATCCTCTCAATTTTTTACCTTCATCGTCACAGTTGTTCAAATTAATATCATCCACAGCGTAACGAATGGTTTGACAATCATTAACAGAAACATCACTGATTACTGAGAGTAATTAAAAGATATGTATGATCAATCAGCTTTCATATCATCCTCCCATCAGAAGGTCAAATATACAACAAAATTGTCTTAATTCTTGATAATACACCTATTTTAAACTTTTTGGTGCGTGATAAGCCTTATTTTGAACCCTAGTTTCATAAACTTTTATCAATTTTTGACATATCCGATGAGTACTAAAGTGATATACAAAGGACACTAGCGAGGGTATAAATCAGTTATCGGATCTTTATCCACAGACCATTGCACATGCTTGCTTGTAGATTGATCCAAACTATTTTCATAAATGGCTGGATTGTTTGAATCTGTTCGATCGCGACCAACAAAAAGGGCAGGCTCCCGAGGATCCGGCAATGTGAAGGAGTGACTGCTTAGCATCACCATAATAGACTGCATTGTGGGTCTGAGAGCCGGGTTTTCCTGAACACACAACAAGCTCATATGGATGCATTTAATAACTTCGTTTCTCGAACAAGAGTCTCTTAAACTAGGATCCAGCAATTCCAATGGCCTCCCTTCCCTCCACAGCCTCCAGGCCTGCAAATTGTTCCAATCATACATAATTAATTAATGTGTTAATATTTTGACCTCTCTAGCTACCATCTGAGTTTATTTACTTTTGATAATATACTTACGTAGCTTTCGCTCAAAAAAGATAATATACTTACAAAGCTTAGTAGGTCTTCGGCATAACTTGAAATATAGAAAGATGTATTCTTCTCGCCGCTAATAATCTCCAAAATGAGGACACCAAAACTATATATATCAGATTTGATTGAAATATGACCATGCGTTACATATTCTGGAGCCATGTATCCACTACAAAAAAAAAAGCCATTACATGGTAAATAATTTCTTTTCCCAAGTTCATTATAAATTATGATACAAAACAATTGGCATGAAAAAAATTTAACTTACAAGGTGCCGACAACTCTGCTTGTGCTTGCTTGTGTTTGATCAACTCCAAAAATTTTAGCCATACCAAAATCAGAGATTTTTGGATTCAAATCTTCATCCAACAATATATTACTGGCTTTGAGATCACGATGTATGATTTTTAGTCGAGAATCTTCATGAAGATAAAGCATTCCTCTTGTAATGCCTTCAATAATCTTGTAACGCATAGACCAATTCAATTTACCCTGGTTTTCAAGTCCTAGACGCCCAATAAGAAGCCAATTCAAATAATAAGATAAAAAATTAGATTCACATCATCACCCCAAGGTAGCCAATGCAATTAATAATTATTACTCCTCCTGTCCTAAATATGAGACCTACTTTGTAGTGTAAATTACACTACAAAGTGGGTCTTATATTTAGAACTAGAGGAGTATTATATAATTTGAAGAGTGACCATATGCATAACTAAACGGAGAAAATAATTTTGCAAAACCTACCGAACAAAAAATTATCCAAGCTTCTGTTGGGCAAAAATTCGTATACGAGTATCTTTTCTTCTTCATCCAAACAAAATCCAAGTAACCTTACAAGATTCCTATGTTGAAGTTTTGCCATCGTGGCAACTTCATTCTTAAATTCTCCCACACCTTGTTTTGAACCGCTTGATAGTCTTTTTACGGCTAACTCTTGTCCACCAGGCAGGACACCCTTCATAAGGAATAATCAATCTATTAAAATTCATTTGCAAACAAATAGTTATTTATGATTTTAAGAGTAGTGATCCCGATTTTTACAAGTATAATAGATTTATATACCTTGTAAACCTCACCAAATCCTCCTTGACCAAGTTTATTGTCAGGAGAGAAGTCATTTGTGGCTGTTCTGATGGTATCCAAATCAAATTGCAGGGATTCTACGCTTGAAATATCAACTACACAACCAAAAACAAACCAAAAAAATGTAGGGATGATGATATCTAAGGAACTTCCATGTAATAATTAAAGCGAAAATTTCATGTGTATCAAATTAAACATGAGAGCTGATATTTATCGTACCACTTTGTTTAGGAACTGAAGCATCTTTCCTTGCCCTCCTTTTTAAGCACAAGAAGCAGAGCAATATGAATGTCACCGTTGGAACAGCTATGGCAATAATTATCCCAGCTGAAATCCTGCTTTTATCTGAATAAAACCAAAGAAAAAAACTAAGTTACATATATATATTCACTATTTTTATTAAAATTATACTATTTTTTCTTTATCCTCAACATATTCTCTAATTTCCTGTAAAACAATTCCTAAGTTTAAAATTGTTAATTAAACTCGATACCTGTGTTGCATAGTGGTACAAAGCTTGGATCCCACTCGTGCCACTAAATTGTTGGCTCACCCTTTGTAATAAAAAGTTATTATTAATTAAAACATCATTTATTAATTTAAATTACATATTCTTTAGACTTAAACTTTTAAACAGAAGGTCTTCTATTTAGAAGAGTTATAATTTTTGAATGGAAACTTTTAGAATAAATTTACAATCTTAGCCCTGTAGATTTATCAGAAGAGTTCTAGCTTCGTTGTCAAAACAATCTTGCAAGAGCAACAAATTTGGGTGAAAAAATTCGTACAATGTTTATTCCTTGAAGCAGTAACAACTGACCTTTGGAAGTGGATTCCGGCGAAGGAGCTGGTGGCGGGCGCGCAGGTGGGGGAGGTGGTTCCTGGTAAAAGGCGTACGTTTCATACCTTAAATAGCAACTGGGCTTGAGGGTTACTCCGCCTACTTTTCCATTACAGCAAATAGGCAAATTGCTAATACTGTTACGGAGACAGTTGAGACAATCAATCTCAGATATATCCGGCGTGCACTGCGCCATAGTATACAGAGTTTGAAAAACATCATAGTCTACTGTTTTTGTCGCAAATTTCTTGCTTCCGCCTTCCGATGCCTCTTTTGCAATCCCTCTCAAGGTTTCACCCACCTGCTTCATAAAGCTGATCGTGTCTGTTGCATTGCCGGTGTTATAAAGAATTAACATCGGGTTTTCTTCCGTTTTGGAGAAGAAATACTGGTCGGAGTAACGTAACCAGCACTTGTCGTACCAACCGATGGCTCCGGTATTGTTGGGGCATCTTTGAAGGATATCTTTGATTCCGTCGGAAACACATTTTTGACAGGTCTGGACGGTGGCATCGCCGAGGCACTGGAACATGCCGTAGACGGTGGCGTTGGAGTTGTTTTCTTGCCCGGAGACGGTGGTGTTGTAAAATCCATCACTTTGATTGGTGTTGGAGGAAAGGGAAGAAAGTAAGTGATTCACATTTGTCTGAAACATGCTTTTCTGGGCATAAGTTGTAGGGGAACAGGAGTAAGTTTGTCCTTTGATTCTGGCAATCGAAAGGATCACAAGGCAGAGAAGAAGAAAGAGTTGAGCAGAATTCATGAAACGAATCATTTTGTGATCATTAACGCCGTTTCAATTCATATGCCGGCAGTGTAATGTTTGTTAACTCCTTTTGCTATTCTCATTTATCTTCGTAGTTTTTATTATTTCGGAATTTTCAACGCGGCAGATTTTGATTTTTTTTTTGGGGACCTGAAGCAGATTTAGAATCTGAGAACCAGTGGTTAAGAAGATAGATGTTGACTGGCGTAGCTAGAACCGTAATACTCACTCCACTCAGTTTCATGTTAATTACATGACACATTTTGGAGGATTAGCTGTTCTGATTTTCTACATATTCAATTGAAAGACATTAGTTAAATAGCTAAAATTATTAAATTTTTCATTAATAATTTCTTGATTTCCTTGATTATTGTTTACGTTTGAAGTAATGAAAAACGCTATACAGTATGTCAGTATAAACCTGAGAAATATAAATATACTACCTCCGATGCTTAGCATAAAAGTTAGTTGACTAATTTAAGTATATTAAAAAAATTAGTTAAATTAGTTATTTGAAATAAATAGATATTGTCTTTCATAAAATATCCTTACTAATCAAGTGTATTAGGTAAAATTATCATTACTATAACCATTACCTTTAGAAACAATGAATAAATATTAGAGACAAAGTGGATTGAAGTCTTATATTTAGGATCAAATTTTAAATTGAAATTAGCCTTTGTATTAAAGACTAGAGGTAGTATATCAGTCAAATTAATAAATAATTAGCTTTTTTTTGCCTCTTTTTCTTTATATCCGTGAAAAGGTCGTGACAAAATTTTAAGCCCCTTTTGAACACGACAATGAAGACCTGATCAACCAAACTTTTTCGAGTGTTCATACTTCATAGTCATTTCTCAGACTCTTCCCATTGCGCGTCCAATAATTCCTCCACCATCTACTTCCAATGACATTTAGACTGGCACCCCGCGTCAATGCCCAAGTCAACTAATGTCTCGTTTAATTTGGTACAATGAAATTGGAGGCATACAAATGAGATTGGAATTCATTTCCATATGTTAATGCCTCGTTTGATAACAAGAAATTGGAAGTTGAGAATTGGAATTGGAAGTGAAAGTGGAACATAAGAGGAAAAAAAAAATTCAATGACCATGATTTATGAGATGATAGGGTTTATGAAGAAGGACCGAGGTTGGAAAGGAAAAAAAATGAAACCAACAAAAAATGCGGTTATGTGATTAACAACATATCTCAATTGTAAATCCTGAAAGTTTAATTATAAATATTTAAAAGTTATAATCAGTTTAAAATTGATCATAAAACTTTACTGGTAAAAAATTAAGACTTGGTTTTAAGATTTAAAAAGGGTTTACATAGAAATCAAATCATAGTTTTAAAAGTGATTTTATAGCATATAAAATAAATATGTGAGAAGAGTTTTATCTTAACTTATATAAAAGTATTTTTTTTAACACCCCTCACGTAATCATTTATCTATCTTCCCCTGATATTGCGTTATATGGCTAATTCTATATGTATTACAAGAAATTCAATCCTTAATATAAAAACTCAATAGCTAATTTAAAAATATTTAAAAAAATTAGTTAACCTGGTTATTTATAACAAATGTGTGTTAACTTTCTTAAATTACATTCTTTAGTCATATGCATTAGAACTACTCTTTAATCGGAATCTCTTAATATGTACAATTAATAGGCATATTCTCAAAAAAAAATTATAAATTTAAAAAATAAAATAGATTGAGATTTTATATTAAAAACCAAATTTATTCCCAACTAATTCTTACTGTCATAGTAAATATTATCTTAACTAAACCATTCTTAACTACTTCTCAACACATGAATATGAAAGTATAAATTGTTCATTGTGACTTGGAACTGGTGGATGATTCTTTGGGTTCAAATAATCAGATACACATCAGTCACAAAAAATCAATATCATTAGTCAATGGAATAATTCTAAAAAAATATCTCTAAAACTTTAAAATTTCAAATTAGAAATACTTATAAAAATATGTTAACATTTATTTTTTAAATATTGTCAAGTATTATTAAAATATAGTAAGTAAGAAAGCTTTGAAATTTTAAAATTAAAAAGAATCTTCTTAGGTGTTTGATCAGTAATCAACCAACAGTGACCGTATGACTCAGACCCGACCCACCCCGTACGGGATGGAAACGAGTGGTGAGACTCCGTTTTCCAAGTCTTCGTTTCCCATTTTTCCCACGACTGACGCTGTGTGCCCGTGAACGCCCTAAAACCAATTTCCCACCTACTAAAATTCTATTATGCAATCTTTGGTGTTCTTTACTTTTATTTATTTCATAACAAAAATTCTTTAACTTTTAAATTTATCTCATACTTCACTCCTATATATTAATTTCAGTTGGTTGTAATCTGATCATTTAAATTTTCCTCAAAGTTAATTTTACTCGTCTTTCAATTTATTTTTGTCTACTTTATTCCTAGCTGACATTATTCTTAACCATTTAGCACGGGTACAGATATGCATACAAGGATATTTTCATATATATCAAATAAATCAACACTTCAAAACTGTATTTTAAAACAAGTAATCAATATGATATTTTAACTTAATTTAGAATATTATATAAATTTTGTAAAAGTTCTTTCTTCTTTCTCGTGACGTGATATTCTTTAACAGTGCATTTTTCTGGTCTATTACAAAATTGACTTTCTGAACCGTAAGCAATGAAGCAATAAGCTCCGTCCTAGCTTGCAATTCCAAGCGATAAGGGTATAATTTGAGCAAGCGAGAGACAGAGATCTTCACCAACAAACGAAATGAAGCTCTACAAAATTGATCCTCCTCCTCTCTCTGTTCTCATGCTCTTCATGGCGATCCTGACAGTGATAGTAACCAGTTATAGAGCATCCGCCCAAACAGAGGAATATTACAACTGTCGAAACACTACATTTTTCTCTTCCAATAGTTCCTATCAAACCAATCTGGACCATCTCCTTTCATGGCTTTCCACAAATTCCACCCGCCAAAACGGTTTCTACTATGCCGCCGCCGGCAACTCCGATAGCACTGTCTACGGCGCCTTCCTCTGCCGTGGCGATCTCACCCCCGATGCCTGCCATGACTGCGCTTCCGTAGCGGCCAAACAAATACTCCGAAGGTGTCCTTTAGATAAAAAGTCAGTGATCTGGTTCAACGAGTGTATGTTACGTTACTCAGATGAGCCTTTCTCCTCCGTCAGTGAAGAAGCCCCCAGGCTTATTTTGATGAATACTGCGGCAAGCTTAAACCAGAGTAGCTTCATGTCACTGTTGGCTGAGACTATCAACGCGGCGGAGACGCAAGCCGTAAAGGGCGGGGCTGACAAGAAGTTTGCTACAAAAGAAGCCAAATTTTCTACTTTTCAAACGCTGTATACGCTAGCACAGTGCACGCCGGACTTAACGGAAACTACCTGCGAAACATGCTTAAAACGAGCAAGTTCGACCTTACCCAGTTGCTGCAATGGAAAAATAGGGGCCAGAGTCCTGCAAACTAGTTGTATTGTCCGATATGAAACGTACCCGTTCTACCAATCATCGCCGGTGATCACCCCGCGAGAACCAACGCCAAAAGGTGTTTGTGGAGAGTCCTGTGCATTGCTTTTTGACTTCTCCCACTTATTAGTTTTGTCGACTTTAAGTGGTAATATACTGGAAACTGATCGACCAATTAATTTGAGCAGGAAAAACCCGGATCTCTGTGGCCGTAGTCCTCGCGATTGTGGCTCCAATTACGACTGTTTTGCTGCTTTTCCTCCTTCTCTGCTGGTTAGGAACTAGAAGGGCAAGCAAGAAGCACATATTAGTGCCGCCAGCTGAAGAAAACGATGGTATGATTCAAGAAAAAATAGCGTTTTATTTGTGATTCTATCGGTACTTCCACATTTTGCTAGCTTAGCAGCCGTGAAACTTTTTATATATGCTAGTGGCATCGATGATTCAATCTATTATAAAATCCTTGACCCAACAATGTGAAACTCGGAAGGCCTTCAGCTTTAAGTTTACTCTGGCTGCTAATGTGCAGTTGAAATTTCCAGTGTGGAGCACGTGCAGTTTGATCTGGAAACAGTCAGATTGGCCACAAACAACTTCTCCCATGAAAATAAACTAGGCGAAGGAGGATTTGGTGAGGTTTTCAAGGTATTTTATTTGTTCCCTGTAAAAATTTGAGACAATTTGGTTTGGGTTCAGAGCTTCTCAAAGAAGGTACGGTATTTTCAGGGATCTCTTCCTAATGGGCAAGATATTGCAGTGAAGAGGCTTTCATTAAGCTCCAGGCAAGGTGCAGAAGAATTCAAGAATGAGGTGGTCTTAGTGGCCAACCTTCAACACAGAAACCTTGTTAGGCTATTGGGGTTTTGCTTGGATGGAGAAGAGAAGATCCTCATATATGAGTTCATTCCCAACAAGAGCTTGGATCATTTTCTTTTCAGTATGTCATTCATAAATAAGCTTCTTTAATTTGAATTTCTTTCCCCCTTTGATACTGCACATTAATCTCTTCATTTCTTTTGATGTTGATCAGATGATGAAAGAAAAAGTATGCTCAATTGGCCAAAACGATACAAGATCATACAAGGAATTGCTCGCGGAATACTTTACCTTCATGAAGACTCTCGACTTAGAATCATACACCGTGATCTTAAAGCTAGTAATATATTATTAGATGAGAATTTGAATGCAAAAATTGCAGATTTTGGTATGGCAAAAATTTTTGGTGCTGATCAAACTCAAGGAAATACAAATAGAATTGTGGGAACATTGTGAGTTCAATCTCCCTTTTTTTATTACTTTGTGCCAATGTCCTTTGTTCAATTTAAACACATAATATTTTGATAGTAAATGTTTGTGAAATATTCATCATGTCAAGTTTTATGTTTTGAATTTGACTTTGTTTATAGTGGTTATATGTCTCCGGAGTATGCAATGCATGGGAATCTGTCTGTAAAAGTGGATGTATATAGCTTTGGCCTGTTGATTTTGGAAATAATAAGCGGACAAAAGAGCACATCCTTTCAAGAATCCAACTACGATGAACATCTCCTGAACTATGTGAGTTTGGAGGATCTTTGTGTTTGTTCTCTGTCGCTTGCTCTGTTTCTGGTTTGACTTTCATACTGTACTTCTTTTGCAGGCCTGGAGGAAATGGAAAGATGGGACGCCGTTGGAAGTGTTAGACGTGAGTTTGAGAGATTCTTATAATAGAGAGGAAGTGAGAAGATGCATCCAGATTGCATTAACATGTGTACAAGAAGATCCAGCTCAAAGGCCAACAATGCAGACAATAGTTCTGATGCTCAATAGTTACTCAGTTAGCGTAGCAATACCTGAGAGACCTCCATTTTTGGTTCAAAGCAGAACCGTTGAGCTCAGCCTTCCATCGAACTCCACAGATAAGTCTTCTCAAAGCAGATCAGCCCCATACTCTGTTGACGAAGCTTCCATCACTCAAGTGTACCCTCGATAGCTTATTTGTTGTTCTGTTTACCAACATGTGGATTGTGGAGATTCGTTTGGATTCCTATGTAAGATCAGAATATTAATAGCGAAAAAAGCATCTGTCCACTTCTTAGCAGAATAAAAGAGACCCGAATTTATTAGCTGATATAAAAAAGAATTAATACATACAAATATATATATCTATATCTATATATATATGGGATTATTCATGTCAATCTTGTGTGTCTGATACAAATATGTAAATAAAACACCATTATTAAACGTACATAGGCAAGATGCAAACGTACGTAAAACCCCATGTAGTTGATCATTGCTGACCATCGTCGTCAAATCCCATCCAACCTACCGAATTCTGAATCATGCGTGTTATTAGTGTAATAATAAAGTTACTTCTTTTACATTATTGTATATCAAGTGCATAGGAGAAAGATACGCAGTTTCTCTGGCATATCAAGAAACAGATTGATTTTCCATTAAAAAAGAAACAGATTGATTTGAGACCCATCTTGCAATATTTTAGAATTACGTCCAAGGCACATTGGTTGTATCAGATTTGACAAATTATAAGCAAAATATTATAGTTGGCCAAAAAGGAACCAACATTGGGGTTGATCATAGGGTGCTAGATGATGGTAAAAGAAAGAACCATTAAAAAACACCCCACTAGATAATCATTAAAGCCTTTTGTCGGCCAAATTTTCTTCTGATTCAGAGCATACATCCCCAGTTGTTCATTCAAATATCAATTAATCATCAAGCATTAGCTATTCCAAATGACTGTACCTAACCTCCATCTCATATTCTTCCTCAGCTTGCTTCAATATTTCGCCATAGCCAGGGCTGAAGCAGATGGCTCTGTTTATATAGGCAATAAAGATCCTGTTTATATCCACCATAGTTGCTCCGCCAGTAAAACCTTCGCTTTCAATGGTCCTTACCATGTCAACCTCAACACTCTCCTTTCCTCTTTATCTTCTCCGCCACTGGCGTCGTGGAATTCTACAACACCACCGTCACCGGAGGCGGTGTAAACGCCAGCGAGGCCATCTACGGCCTCTTCTTGTGTCACGGTGATGTCACGGGTCAGATGTGCCAAAAGTGCGTTCAGTTGGCAATCCAGAAAATCGCGTCGCGCTGTTTGTACTCCAAGGAAGCCATCATCTGGTATCGCGAGTGCTTAGTTCGGTATTCGAGCCGTTCCATCTTCTCCAACTTGGAGGAATGGCCCAGGATTAAGCTCGGGAATTTCAGCACGATTCCGGACACGTCGAATCAAGGTGGCGTCGGGTGGGTGCTGGCGAACACGCTGAACGAGGCGATAACGGAGGCGGCGGACGGTGTGGCAGCTGGAGAAAAGAAATTTGCGACGAGGACGGGGAAAGTGAGGGATCAGAAGGTGTGCACTCTGGTTCAATGCTCGCACGATTTGACGAGCGGAGATTGCCGGGGATGTCTGAGGGATATGATGGCGGATATTCCGCTGTGTTGCCTTGGAAGATACGCCGGAATGGTTCTGTATCCAAGCTGCAGCCTCATGTTTGGGTTGCGACTCTTTTACAGAGAGGTTGAAGCTGTTCGCGCGCGTTCGCCTGAGCGCGTCTCACATGATTCTGTTTCTGTTGATGGCGGCAAAGGGGGCTCAGCGTCCGAAGGTAAAGCTCTCCTTCTAAATGGCTAATTATTTATCTATACGCCGCCGATTTTGAGATTTATATTACTACTAGTTTTTAATGCAACCTTAATCAAGGTCAAAAAAAAAAAAAAACCTTATGGGTCAAGTTCTCAATTTGTCACATGTTCAACGAATGAAGGCTGTCTGGCTCAAATGACCGTATGACAGGCAGGCCTTCTTTGCGTGGGCCAACTTTGTCCATTTTGACCTAATAAATTATTTCATTGTACCTTAAGGGAAAATTTAGAAGGAAAAAGATAACATTTCTTTATTACTACCTCCAGTCTTTAATATAAAAGCTCATTTAATTTTTATTTTGATTTTAAATATCAAATCTCAATTCATTTTGTCTTCGATGGTTATCTACTTTTTTTCTAGGTAATCCTCGTAATAATGATAATTCTAACCAATACACTTAATTAAAAAGGATATTTTAGAAAAGAAAACACGTATTTATTATAAATAATTAGCTTAACTAATTTTTTAATCTACTTAAATTAATCAACTAACTTTTATATTAACTGTCAATGTTATAGCAATTATTTTATTACGCAGGAGGCAGAAAAGTCCGGTCACGGATCATTATCGCGGTGGTCATCCCAGTCGTTATTACAGCCCTGCTGTCCTATTTCGTCATCTATTTGCTGCGAAGGAAGGCAAGGAGGAGATATGCCATTCTCAAAGAAAACTGTACGTTTTATGAAATAGAAAATAGAAAATCAAACCAATCATGCTCTTCCTATGTATATGCTCCTCTGGTCCTGTCTATAAACAGGAAGAAAAGACATTTTTTTAGTCCTATTTATAGGGTACTAAAAGAATTTTTTTGTATGGATGTACAATTTTACACTTCATTTATTAAATAGAGATAAAATAAGAAAGTTCTTGAACTTTAAATGAAAATTAATGAAGTTTAATTTTATTTTTTTTTATCTGTGTATAACATGTTAGAAGTGACTTATAAATAGAACCAGAAAGTGTGTGTATGAATTATGCCTAGAATGATGTGCTTATTTGAAAAGTACATATATACATTCGTTTAGTTGGAACTGAATGTACTACTCTGGAGTCACTGCGATTCGATTTCGCTACAATTGAAGCTGCAACAAACAGGTTTTCAGATCAGAACAGGATAGCTCAAGGAGGATTTGGAGAAGTTTACGAGGTGAGAAATTATTTTATGTCCATAATGCAAATGTTAACATCTTTTTAACAATTACCTATAGTACCCAGTCCTAATGACTAGTCCATATTTGAGTATCGTTGCAAATGCTAATTTTACTTATGCATGATCTCAGGGTACTCTTTCTAATGGACAGAAAATTGCTGTGAAGAGACTCTCCACGAGCTCCGAACAAGGCACCCTGGAATTTAAGAATGAGATTTTACTAACAGCTAAACTTCAACATAGAAATCTAGTGACATTGTTGGGATTTTGCTTACAAGAGCATGAGAAGATACTCGTCTACAAATTTGCACCCAACAAAAGCCTCGACTACTTTCTCTTTGGTTTGGTATTTACGTTTGGTCTGAAGGTTTTCTTATCTTTATTTTTCACCAGCACATTTACTGTTGAAGTCTAACACCTTTATATTGTTATTGTTGATTATACAGATTCTCAAGATCAACTCTTGTCAAATTAGTCCAGGTGCTTTAAAATCATTGAAGGGGTTGTCGAGCAATTTTTATCTTCATGAGCATTCACGTCTTAAAATTATACATCGTGATCTTAAACCTAGCAATATCTTATGAGATGAAAACATGAATCCAAAGCTTTCCGATTTTTGAATGGCAAAAACGGTGGCAATAGATCAACACCAAGAAAGAACAAGAAGAATAGTTGGGACATAGTGAGTTAGTGACTGCTGAATCCCTTACCACACTTCGTTACTTTGTTTTTCTATTTGTTCCAACAAGTAAAATGTTGTTTCTCGTTGGCTTATATTGTTTGGATTTTTTTTTTTTGGCAGCAGCTATATACCTCCTGAATATGTGAATTTTGGAAGATACTCAGAAAAATCAGATATCTTTAGTTTTGGAGTATGTGGGCGGAAAAATTCTTGTTCTTATGAATTACCCAGCATTAATGGCCTCCCAGCTAGCTTACGTAAGTCGTTACTTGCAATGACTTTAACTCTGAAACATATCACTTGATGAATTGTACGTATTCATTTTTGTCAAATTTCAATAGATATATGTTGATATAAATAAGCTGAAGCAGGTGTGATGCCATCGTGCCTCAATAATTATATGATCGCCTGATGCATCGAAAGTTATAAGAAGAAAGGGCAAATATTAATATTGAGTATTGACATGTGTGTACTGTGAAAACTTTGCAGGCTTGGAACCAGTGGAGGGGAGGTGAGACGCCATTAGAAATAATGGATCCGAAGTTGAAAGAAAGTAGTTGTGAAGCAGAAGTGATGAAGTGCATCCAGATTGGATTATTGTGTGTTCAAGAGAAAGCAGAGGTATAGGCCTCCCATGTCAAGAGTTGTTTCGTATTTAAGTAATCTTTCTGTGGAATTACCATTTCCTCGCAAACCCGCATTTTATGTTCATGGTAGGATGGACCCAAATTCGGGTCATCCTTCTGCTTCTGCCAACAATTCCATTCCATCTTCTGTCAATGAAATGTCTATAACTTCATCTTTTCCTCGTTAGTATATATGAAGCTTTATACTTCGGAATCATCGTCAAATTTCCTTCTTACTCCCTTTTTTGGCCAAAAAGACTGAATATTCTGGGTCGATCTTCATGTTTTGGATCGCAAAAGGATATGAACTTATAAAAAAAGCACTAATTAATTACGTAGATTTATCTTTATGTGAATATATATTCTTGCTGTACATTTTACTTTATTATTTAAATGCTAAAATTAATGTATAATTATCACAGTATTTTCATATGTCTTTTTTTTTTTAACCGTGTCTCTTCCCCCGCGAAAAGAAAAGTAGTTATGGGAAATGGTAATCCTGATTCCTAATGAAAAATAAAATGACTTAGATCTTAAAAAAGTATAAGCAAGTTTTTTGGGTTCCAAGGATTTATGTCTTCCTCGTAAAGCCCACCCATATAGAACCACAAGTATCAGCCGTCGTTTGAAAAACGCTAGGGGCCAACTGGAAACCTACAACATTAGGAAGAGGGGAACCATTCTGGCTTTAGCTATGCCAATCACATTATGACTGCATCATTAGTACTACGCACCAGCCTAATAATCTCAATATTATGACTGCACATATCATTATCTGTTATTGAAAACAACACCTTCATTTAATTTTTTTGAAATTTTTTTTGAAAAAAAACTGAGGATGGCCTATAATTTCATGTTACATTATTTCAATTTTTGGAGCATTCTTCTCGAAAGAATTTTAAGTCAACTGCGGTCTATGTACGCTTTAATTAATAAAGTTGTGTTGATAAGACATATAGTTGGCAAAGTCAGAATCATTCCGTAAAATCCCTCATCTTACTCACTCTCATCTCCATTAAACCCGACTGTATCTTGGTGGTCCACAGCCAATACACATGTTCACGCTATTTTTCTACCATCTCACTGGTTCTATTTAATTTTTGTTGCCGTTCTCATGGGGCCTGCCATTTATGACTTTTTTGGACAAGTCTTCACAAATATCTTCGTCAATTTTGTCGATGACAATAAGCTAAGAGCATAATATTTGGAATCCATTATAATTGTTCGTAATTTCCACGCTCCTCACGATTCACGACCCCATCTGGGGCGATAATTCAGGTCTGCTACTTTATTTTTCGCAAGAAAAAAAAATATTTATATCAAATTTGTGATATTTATTATGTCAAATTTCTAATCATACAGTTATATGTCAATTTTTTATGTGAATTTATATTTAAATAATACTGTCTCTAGAGCCTAATATAAGACTCAACTGGTTACTTTGGGAAGACTAAAAAAGTTAAAAATTACTGAAAGTATTTATATTTGTTATTTTTATCAAATTAATTTGCCTCACTTATAAATTGATGATGCATAATCTAATGATACATATAAATATTTTAAAAAGTGCTATAATTAAATAATTAGTAATTTTTTAATTTTTTTAAATTAGTTAAATGGATTTTAGTCAAATTAGTGAAGAACGTGCTGATTTAATATCAATGGGCCTTTTAGTCATTCTCAGCGTGTCTTCCTCATTACAAGTCTTGTCTCATGTGGAAATTATTTTAACTGACCGAGATGGATATCCATTTAATGTAGACTCCCTAGTTAAAGTCTTATTTATGCTAAAGCCCTTAAAAACAAAACGAAAATGATCCAAATACCCGTCATTGCCCCTTGGAACCAATTTCGGTGCTAGTCACTTTGATGTACTTTAAATCATGTAGCTAGATGTCCATATCTTATTTGGATGGCCCAGATTTAATTTCTTTGTATTTTCATTTATTAAAATAATATTTTAATAGGTGAGAATCCAAAATAAGATAATATCTTACTTATGATTCTTTCAAAAAATAGTTTTAATTTAAAAATAATAATTAAAGATGTTAAATTAAATCGTTCAAATCAAATATAAACAATTCAAATTTGATAAGTTTAGAGTGCCATCAAGACGATGAGCATTGTACTGACTTCAGGTTTCAAGCTCACGTTTGACTTCTAGGTCCATCTTCTTTTTATTTGTATTCTTAGTTAGTGCTGGTTTGGAATCATTTAAACAAATATTTTTACGTAAGTTAAAACAAAATTTTCTCTTATATTTATCTCGTATTTATAAATTATAATTAAAAAACTATTTATAAGACATTCTAAACGGGCCTTTAGTTCCTGCAAGAAAAATAACATTGGGTTAATATAAACCTTTATCTCTCAAATTTGTCCTATTTTGGTTTTAGTTTTTCAAATTTCAAATTATAGATTTTAGTTCCTCAAATTTCTTTGTATTTAAAATATTAGTTTCTATAATTCAATAAAAATCTAGATTATTTTGTTCTTTAAGGGACCAAAACCTATGATTTGAAATTGAGGGACCAAAATCAAAATAAGAGTAAATTTAAGAAAACAAAGATTATATTAACTCAATATCGTTTTTAAGGGTCTCGGGATTAAATATCCTTCCATTTTGTCATGATACATTTATTTTGTGAAAGGAATCGTTTAAGCAAGTTTAATAAGATCTTCTTTTGCTTTTTTCTTTCTATTGGTTTAAAAATCATGGCCTCTGACCAATTCCTCCGATCGATGAGATGCTCCCCAGGTTGCCAGTAAAAGGCACCCCCCGAACAGCGCCATATGGCTATTACCTTACCTTAAACACCTCGAATAATACACCCGACCGCCGCGTCACAGTTATCATGTTCGTCATTAACATGCCTCCCACAAAATTATGTTACTCTTTTTCTTTATTAGCTTTCTTTATTCTGCTACTACTCAAGCACAACCCCGTCTATACTAACAGCAGCTGTTCTCCGACACCTTCGCTGCCATAGTTCCTTCCAATCCGACCTCACCAAGCTCCTCTCTTCCTTAGCTTCCAACAAAACCGCCAACATCAATTTCTACAACACCACCGTCACGGCACGGCGGTCGCAACACCGTATACGGCCTCTTCATGTGCCGGGGTGACGTCACCCTCCAGTTGTGCCACCAGTGCGTCGTTGACGCAACCAAAAACATACGTTCCCTGCAACGTCTCGAAGGAGGCCGTGATATGGTACGAGGAGTGTATGGTTCGCTATTCCGACCGCTACTTCTTTTCCTCCGTCAACACGAGTCCTAGTCGGTGCGGGGCCAACACCAACAACGTCGCCAACAACCAAACAGGATTCATTAATGTATTGAACACAACAATGAACAAGGCTGCGACGAGGCGGCGCGAAACCTGGTATGGGAAGAATTTTGCGACAGAAGAAGCGAGTTTACAGTTTCAAACTTTGTATTGTCTGGTTCAGTGCACGCCGGACCTTTCTCCCCAAGGTTGCAGAACATGTCTGAGAGACGCGATTGGGGACCTTTTCAACTGTAGTGACAGGAAGATAGGAGGAAGAGTTCTATATCCCAGCTGTAACGTTCGTTATGAATTGTTCATCTTTATAATTCTAGTGGTAAGCCAGCACCGCCGCCTCTTCCTGCACCTTTTCGGCAACTCATATAGGTAAAGTAAACTTATATGTACGCTTCTTTTTCTTAATCGTTTGTTTGTATTTTTAATATTTTTCAAAAATTAAACCTGCTAATACAATTCTCAACTGGTACAACGCCTAAAATTGACTTGCTTGATTGAAGTCTTCTCAGACGTGAAAGTATCTTATATCTATACAGGAAAACAAGAGGACCATTGTAATAGCTGTTGTTTTGTTGCTTGTGCGGGGTTACTTTTTTGTTGGTGTACTATTCTTAAGGAGTTTAATAAGGAAGAGACGAGGGCTGACCTCAGACAAAAATACTGTAAGTAAATTTTCATTCTATCTCCTAATATATTCATGCAGTTGACTTGATGGGAAGTGTTGGGGTGATGCTTTTAATTAATATACTCTGTGTTTTTTTTTTTTTTTATTTGCCTAGTTGGAGGGAGAAGAAAGCAACACTTTAGAGCCTCTGCAATTTAGTTTGGCTACTATTGAAGCTGCAACAATAGGTTTTCAGAGGAAAATTGTCTAGGCCAAGGTGGATTTGGACAGGTTTACAAGGTGATCTATGTCATACATCGATATTAATTTTGAGTGTGTCCCCCTCTCTAAATATACATGTGCGCGCGCGCGCACCCCGCAAATGCAATTCATTTTTAATAATCAACTATGATTTTAGGGTATTCTTTCAAATGGTCAAGAAATAGCTGTAAAGAGACTTTCGAAAGGTTCAGGCCAAGGCAGGCGGTGAGCAGAATTTAAAAATAGTAAGTATTATTAATAGCCAGACTGCAGCACAGAAATTTGGTGACCTTACTGGGATTTTGCGTAGAAGATCAAGAGAAAATTCTCATTTATGAATATGTTCCCAATAAAAGCCTTGACTACTTCCTCTTTGGTTTGCTTCTTCTAAACTTTTTCATAATTTTTTTATTGAAATTTAAGATTATCTTTATTTGTATGGGCACTTCCATCGTCACTCACAAAAAAATATATATGTGTGTGTGTGTGCGCATAGGTTCCCAGGAAAATAGAAGACTGACTTGGGAGGAACGTTACGAAATCATAAGAGGAGTTGCTCGTGGAATTTATATCTTCATGAATATTCTCGTCTTAAAATTATACATCGTGATCTTAAACCTAGTAATATTTTGTTGGACAATGAAATGAATCCAAAAATTTCAGATTTGGGCCTAGCTAGGATGGTTGCTATCAATGAAAATGAGGGAAATACACGGAGGATTGTCGGAACATAGTAAGTTGTATCTTCTCTCTCTTCAACATTTACATTTATCTTGATATTGTTGAATAAGGAAAAATAAGTTTTTCTTAGGTGACACCAGAAGGTTTGCCTTCAATGCATCACTTTAAGCATCAAAATTAGTCTTATCTTCTAATGGATTAATTTCATTATTGATATATTATTTTCTTTTTAGTGGTTATATGCCTCCAGAATACGCGATGTTGGGCTATATTCTGAAAAATCAGATGTTTTTAGCTTTGGAGTTATAGTTTTAGAAATTATCAGTGGAAAGAAGAATGCAAGTTGTCATGATGAATCGCAGTATGCTGATAGCCTCTTGAGCTATGTAAGTTATGATAATACGTTTATTTCATTAATATTTCTTATGCAGTCATCCTCATTGATGAATGGATGAATAATGAGTTTTACTTAATTGTTGCAGACGTGGAATCAATGGAGTAATGAAAAGTTGTTCGAGATGTTGGATTCAAATCTAAAAGAAATGGAATGTTATAATGAAGTAAGCCGGTGCATCCAAATTGGATTGTTATGTGTTCAAAGGCATCCAGATTCAAGACCTTCCATGGCTACAATTGTTTCATATCTGGGCAATGATTCAATTCAATTGCCACATCCACAGCAACCTGCTTTCTTTTTGCGTGCTCGAAGGGTAATCACTTCTGCAGTAGAGAATATAGCTCGATTAATGAAATGTCTCTGAGTGATTTCTTTCCTCGCTAGTTCCCAACTATACAAGCCTGTTGTATATTGTTTCATCTTCATCTTG